CTGTAAGCGCCCAGCCTTAAACGGTGACAGCCATGCAGCAGCAACAGCTGGTTTTCCTCCCAGAGGGAAGTCTGCAGTGGGGATGACGGGTACCCTGCTGCTCACCTTTGCGTTGCTGATAAGCCCAAGCTGGATGGAGGCAAACAGTGCTCAAGGGGGCAGAGCAGACAAAAGCAGTGTGGAAAGCACTGTGAGCAGGTTTTGCAGCTGGGTAAAACGCAGTGCTGATGGATGCCCAACACCCATGGGGAAGCATCCTCAGCCACAGTCCTGCGCCCAGACACCTGCAGGCACCCGTGGCACAGCATGTCCTATCACCTGCCACCCCGAAATTAGAGACGCTGGATGCATCGCAGCCTTGCTGGGTGCCCTCATGTAGGGAATGGCCTTGCAAAGAGCTCTGCCAGCCCATGTCCACTGCATTTCTCACTGGCACTGTGCTGTCTGCAAGGGTTTACAGACTGCTTAAACCATGGTCAGCATTGCTACCTTGCTGGAGCACCCCAGGACTGCTGCACAGCCTCCAGCAAGCCCTTCCCCAGGGAAATGTTGACATGAAGGCAATAACAGTCAGGAAGATGCATGCAGTGAGGATGCCCCACCGATGAGCTGGCCACACTTCGGGGTGAGAGCAGTGTCCTATGATCCCTCTGCCACTCCCTTTCCTAATTCTCAAGTTCCTCTAAAGCAGGCAAAAGGCTTCCCAGACCAAAGCAGCAGAGGGCTAGTGTAAAGGCATTCTGCACAGAAGTGCTGTAAGGGAACTGAAAAAGCTACAGAATTTCTAGGGAGGCATTGAGAAGGAAACCACAGCATTGTTCCAGAAGCGGAAGATGGATCTAAGGGAGAAAAGCATGAAAAGCAAACGACATGCAAGTCTGCAATGAGGCAGACTAAAACACTGAGCAGGCAGAAAACTTGCTAAAGCCATGGATGCTGTTAGAAAAGCTCTCCCACGGCATTCGTGGCACGAAAACCAGAGGAGCAGCAGGAGGGAGCAGCCCTGCCAGCCCACTCCTGCCTTTATATTGCTCAAATCCCAGGCAGAGTGCCAGCTCAGAGTGTGCAGCACTGACCAGGGTTGTTTTGAACAGCTCAAGGACCAAGTTTCAGATTCCGACCTGGAGCTGAGTTTCCTTGAAATCGTTTCTTTTGTATGGGAGGGGTAACACAGGCAGCACCAGCACTGCTCATTACGGCAAGTCACAAGTCCGGCAGGCAGGGGTTTGGGGCTGGGTTTGCTGAGTGTCTGCTTTCCCATAAATCACACATATTTAAGGAAATGTTTTGAGGCAGGATGTGCTGGAGCTAATGGTGCTGTGCTGCCAGTACAGAGCAGCCCTCATCACTCACCAGGAGTATGAACACAGCCAAAGCCCT